ATATGTAAATATATGTATGTACTCACATCTGTCCATACGAGTATACGCGTTAAAAAAAAACTACTTTTTCTTGCCACACTATTATTTTGTCGTTATAAATATGCACATATATACATACATACATACACATATATATGTACAATGTACATACCCAATAAACATTGTGGCGAATGTTCGAATATTACCCTCGATATCAAATATGTATATCGAACTGAGAGCGAAGTCATAACCAACCTTACTTTTCCAACATTCATAGTAGATTGAAAATACACTCGAAATGGGTTCGAAAAAAAATTTTTAACCATAGTAACAAGAAAGAAAGTGAAATCCAGCTCATTCTTGAAAGGAAACATAAAACAGTCACTCTCTCTCATTAAAATTTCTATTCGATATTGGGCTGGATTTCGAATTCATAACGAAGGGAAGAGACATTGAATAAGGAAAGTTCCATTTTTCTGGAGAATGGAGAACTCGAAGAGCAGATTCGTTTTCCAATCACTTTCGAATTTTTAACCAAGCCGAATGTTTACTGGGTATATACGCCATACAGATTTTGTTATTGTTACTGTTATTGTGCGCATTTGTGCTAAGCTGGTCGGTCTCATGGCATCACTAAACAAAAGCGCTCTTGTTCTGACGTTGAGTGAATACTCAGTCTTCTAATGATTTAATGGCTAAAAGATGGGCAAGAAACTTATGCAGAAAACTGTATTTAATAGCCACAAAAGTGCGTGGTGTTTTCAATTTAAAGAACCATTCACTTGAGATTTAAATATTTAAATTCTAAAAGGGCGGTTGAATGTTGGAGTACCCGGCATACCGTATTGCTAAATCTAACACGGCGTATATAAAGCTTTAACCGTGTAAGCAATTTTGGAATAAGTATTTACGTAAACGTGGTTCAATTTTTTTTTTGTTTTGGAAATTCATAAACGTTACTTCAAATTATTGTTATTTGTGATAAAAAAAAAGATAAACGTATTTTTTTATTTTGAAAAAAAAGTTTTTTTTTTGCATCAAAATATTGTTATTTGTGATAAAAAAAGAGAAAAGCATTTTTTTATTTTGAAAAAAAAATAAATTAAAGGTCGCGCTGGTCATGGTAACAAGTTCCAAGCCATGACAATGCTTAAAACTAGGGATGTGCCGGGTATCCGGTAGATATCCGGAATCCGGCCTATCCGGCCGTTTTTTGTTTATCCGGTTATCCGGCCGGATACTGGCCAATTTAATAGTATCTAATTAGTAATCAAAGTTTCCGCATTATCGGGCAATAACCTATTTCTATTTTCAACATAAATGTTACCCGATGCACTAAATACTCTTTCCGAGTTCACTGAGGAAGGTGGCGCGCAGAGATACTTCATTGCCAGTGTAAACAAATTTGGAAATTCTTTGCGGCTATACTTTCACCAAGTTAAGGGATCTTCTTGTCTGGATATAA